TGTTTGCTCAGACAACAAGCCAAAGGTGTAGCATAGGGGACAAGGAGGGCGGTCCGCCTCGAGCGGCATGTGACGGGGGGTGGCAATTTTAGTACGGATGGTTATTTGATACCAAGTATAAATGCATCAAAATTACTTCCCTGACTAAAGTGGTAAAAGCGAATGATGATATATTAAGACCGAAGAGGAAATTGATATTGCAAACGATATCCGGGCAACAGAAACCGATATTAACAGTAGGGATGCAGCGGGAAATTTCTGTAATGCTGACGCAGAAGACGCGCGCTAAAGTGAAAGCATGGGGAAAAAACAAACCTTTTGTACGATAATAATCAGCTAAACCGATTATTTGCATGTCCACCAGTGGGCTGTTAAGATTGTTCATGAAATTCTTACTATGCTTGTCCGGCTCGGCTTTACTGTCATCCAGCATATATATCATGAATTTACTAATTGGTGATACATGGAACGAAGGTAAAGCTGAAGCTGAGAATCTAAATACTAATTGGTTATTTTCGGTATTTGGAAAACGGTGAGCAAGGATTGCGACACCCATGGTGCATTCCGCTTCAAAAGTAACCCTGTGTGGTTTCCGCTGCAAGATGTCTTCAACGGGCTTGTCTAGTTTTTCGACTGATGGAAGCTAACTCTAAAAACGTGTGAACCCGAACCTAGTAACTGGCGTGTTCAGTCATTCCTCAACCGCAAATAGGTAGCGATCCGGCGAGTTGAAGGAAAAGCATTTGACAAAATGGAGCAAGTAGTTGTAGAAAATCAGTAGCGTGAAATACAGCTAGAATACTTGATATCATCAGGGTTCTCACCAAGCAAAGCATGACACTGTGTGTTCAACGAGAAGACATCTAACGTGAAAATGAGGCTAATAAAGATAGAATATTGCAGCATTTGTACATTTGTCGCCAATGTGTGAGCCTGTTCTTTGCGAACATTTTATATCAGTTCAGCTGCGAAGGAAAAGCAGCACTTATTATTTCTTGCACCACAATCAAAATGAATTGGTGAGCAATTTGGTGCAATCAGGTGAGAAAGAACATCTTAGATTAGATCAGTGAAAGCAAGTATGTTTGCTAGTTATGTGATAGCACGCCCGACGTAGCTCACAAAATCAGATGAGTGAATATGAATTGAGGGAAGAGGAGTCGTTTCTCAGCTTCGTTGAGACCAACAGCAAAAGGGCAGAGGAAAGTTCTACACTGGTTTTGCGCGAATCGGAGAAGGCTGGAATCCACATTGACAACTGTCGTGGACAAACATTTCGCAATGTTGCTGTTATGGCGTGCTAACGAATGGGTGTTCAGAGACGTAGCTGTGAAATTAGCTCAAAGTCTACATCTGTGTCACGCACAAACCATTCTATGTGTTCATTTGGCTTCCGCGACGGTTCATTCTGTTACCTTGTTTGTACGATGGACCGGCTATTATCATGCTTTGTTCATCAAAATATTACTCGTGTGCCTTGGTTCAAATCCCCGGTGTAAGTGTCAGAAGACTGTGAAATACAGATGCAGTAGTCGATCAGGTGCTGTTAAATATTGTGGTAAAGAAACTCGGAACTCGTCACTTAAATGACACATTTCACAGAATAATAATGAAATGCAACCATACGATCAGCCGCATCTTCACTTCTCATCTCCGTAGTCGTTTCTGTTATTTTGGTGTCTACGCATTTAGGGATCTGCTCTCATAGAATTCAAAAATGCGCAAGTGTATCTAAAGAAATGGGATGGAGCTGCAAAGTTTTGACAATCATACAGAATTATGGTATGATGCGTCGAATCGGCCAAACGAAAATATTGGACGGTGGAACATTTTTGAATATATCGATGGATTTGATGCAGAGTTGAAACGGGAAATGCTGTCTCTCCTATACACTTTGACTAATGAAATGCCATAGCTTTCAGCAAATGCATGACCTTGCGCGGAAATAGGCTTTCCGTAGACCGTTAAATCTATTGTTCATTTGTTCTCCGAGCTTGGTGGTTTTGTCGGAAACGTTTCACCACCATGCGAGGTGGCTTCCTCAGTGCAGTGACACGCGGCTTGCACAGTGTTAAATCTGCTTAGATTCCAAGTATGGTTGTCCGTTTGGTAAATTCAACGATATAGAAAATGTGGTATCCTTGCGGAAATAAGAAAGTTAGGTAATTTGTGAAAACTTCACTAAAATACTAAATTATTGGACGTTCTGCGCTTTCAAGCCTCATACCGAAATATCACTTTTAGAATCTGCTGCGCAGATTTCTTACCCGAACGTTTAGCATAGTCAGCTAAGAGAGCGCATCCTCAAAACGGATGTTCATAACGAACTACCTTCAATCATCATCGAAGCCGACAATGCTCACGGAATCGCAATTCTTAACATAGAGTGCGAAAGGTGTGCGCGAAAAGTGTGTTTGTAAAGCTTGTTCACGAATAGTGCAAAAATAAGAAGTCCTGAATTTACGGCAACACTGTATAATTGGGTCTTTGCATGTTGTTATGTGTAACAAATATTTAAGAGCTGTCCAAAATTATGGGGTTTTACCGATTTAAAGCCGCCAGTGTTGGCAGCAAGTTTACTGCCGCCCCGGGCGTCAAGAATAGTTGCTACGCCACTGCAAGCGCCTGGTAACTTTAGGTGCAATGACACAGGCTACCGGCTGTGATGGAATGCGAAACAAACATCAGCACTTTCCGCCAACAGGATTTGGCAAGGGGATAACGCGGAGCATTCTGCTGCCCCTTATCCTACAATGTCTCAACTCCATCCTACTACGCATTTGCTGACCGAACGCTTCACTATTCTCACCGCGTCCTGCCATCCGTCATCGTCCTGGGGGGATGAATTGCACTCGAGCATTTGCGGTCATCACCCCTTCGCCCTCTCCCTGATTAGATTTCCTTCTCTATACCTAAATCCGACCTCCTAGTGGCTGCCGGCGTATAACCAATGCGACGGCTACGCGACAGGGCGCGAAAAAGGCAACCACTGAATCATGGGCGAAAGAACTTGCAAAATATTAGATGAACTTGAATGCGTTACGGCTCCGTTTGATTGCACTATGCCTTGCAGTGTCTGGGAATTGATATATGTATATTTAAACGCTAATTAACGATAGTGCTAACAAACATTATGCCTGATAAAATGATCGTAACCGATTAAAACCAATTAGTACCTGTCATGGAACTTCAAGTTCCTATCGATCTTTCTCGTCCCATCACGCATGCTTTTTCTGTGAATTGGTCTACCCTATCTGCATTTGGATCTTAACGCGAAAAGTTATCGGCGTGCTCCTAGTTTTATTTTTTCCTGTTAATCGCAACCCTTCACCATGTCTCTAGGCCTTCGTTCTTTTTGATTCCTTCCAGTTGGTTTTAATATTTTGGCAGAGATTTGCAACCTCCATCCTGAGGAAGAAGAAATGCAGAATATCGTCAGCCTGACGACAATTGCAGAAAGAATGTAGAAGCAAAAGTAATGGGTACTAATATACCAACGGAGAGCGCGTGATGGTAGATTCGCTGGACTAGTTCGTATACTTCTGATTAACGATTAATAATGCTATTGACAATAAGCATCGAACTGGGGACGAGAGTTTACAGTAAATATTCGGAAATAAGTTAAAAGTACGTCGATCGATGCGGCTGATTCTCTGTCAATCAGCTAGAAACCCAGCATAATAAACATAGAATAGGATATAATCATTGCCCAGCTGCACATGCTGTAATGAGAATGTGCTTCACTGCCTACAATAGTCAATTATTGTAGAAGATACTACGGAATCTTGAATGAACTTTTGTAGGTCTGGTCAAGTTTAGAGATGGCAAGATAGTGTATCACTCTTGTCTGGAATTCACGATGCTGCACTGCAACCGGTGTTAATTTATATCAGAGAAGTCCACTGAACTCTGAAGACATTAGGAAAACTCTTGCATTCAATCAACGGAACAAATAAGGTCTTGCTTATACTCGATTGGCTCACAAACGAAGTCACAAGAGAAGTAAAGAGTGAGCGTTTGACAGCAGCAACCAGATTCTTGCTTATACCCAAATATTCCAGTCCAATTCTACTACATTCCTCATTGTCTAACATTGTGAAGCAAAATGAAGCAATAACCCGTTGGAATGAGTGCCGAGGATTTGACCATACAACTGAGTACAGACATTATCCGACGTTGTACACTAAACGACTCCGTGGCGATATCGCACTGTCTTGATTAATTTTAGCTGCTAACTGATCAAACCAGAGGTTTTATCATTCTTAACTACTCTCGATCGATTTGCTGCTGAGGTTAATGATCTCCATTTTAGTTGCATTCTGGCCGTGGAATTGCTCTTGTCAATATTCTACCTTCTGTAAAATAAATAATCGGTGCGTTCCAGCACAACCGTTGTTGAACAATGCACTGAACCACCTGAGCTCATGTTGTAGGAAAAATTGGTCCATTACCACTTTAGTAATATGTCATATGTAAGATTGCATGTAGGTGTGGTCGTTATTACGATTTTCGGCTCGTCATTAATCTCTGAATCTGATTGGTTGCGATTATGGCTTTCGGGGTACCCTGGTTGAGTTAAATCGTGACATTTCCTGTGCTACTGATGATGTCCCCTGTTCCAAAGAGACGAATTGACCGTTGTCTTGTTTGTGTATTTGTGAGATTATATGTTCAATGTACAAATTCAGAATAATCCCGCTGCCTCTGTGGATTGGTACATATATACAAGGTTGCGCGGCTTTCGCTGCCGTTGTACAAGTTTCCGTTGCCCAGAATTCCTAATTCCGCATATCGCATATGATGAGGACTAAGTATACACATCACTTCCATTATTTCTGATATCCAGGAATTTCATCACGAGCGAAGGAGGGCGGTCAATTACCGTATTATAAGGTGAACACCCAATTGTGCTTAGATTGCACTTATCACAGGTTGCGCTGGTAGTGGTCATTTCACAATCTTGACATACGAGTGGTTGTCGGTGGATAGCAGGTGAACTATCAAATCGTCAGGTCAAAGGGATTCCATTGCATTAGAATGCGGAAGATGAGAAACCACGTTGATAAAGAAGGTAAATTTTTGATCGGAGGTAAGGAATAAAGATATAGGCTTCGTGCGGCCGCCGTTGAGCGTTGCGTCTGCGAACCTGATAAAGCGAAGTGCAAATCAGTTTGGGAGGCATTCAAGTGGGCTTTAAAAATGATCGATGAGCATGAACATCCGTGTAATAGAAGGAGGAAACTGAAACGCATTTCAGTGCTAAGTATGTATCAATTCGGTTGGTATGAACTATGTGCCATCGTGTTAAATTGCTCTAAGTTTTCCCATGTTATGGACCCACCGCTTCACATAGGAATCAATAGTACACCGGATAGCCATTTGTCTATTCGAAGAGTTAGTGTCCATACTATTTGGAATAAACACTAAAACAATAGAAATATGAACTAAACTAGTTCAGGTCATTTTAGTGTAGAACGGGGTGTCAAGTCACTGGAAGACAATCATGACGAGGTAGGCTACACATCGGTATCAACGGTCCCACAATGATCGACTTCGTGGACCCTGGGCGATCAGTTAGAGTCGTGCGTTGAGTACACCGAGCCACGTTACCATCGTTGACTTGATATCGACTTCTGTGCACTGATGTGGAGGGCTTTCTAACCGCTTTCTCGTGGCTGAGTCATAGTGAATAGGAGTATTGCTATCCAGAGTAGATTATTGAAGAAATCCCAAGATAACTTACCATGTGGGTAGCGCGTCCGCAATAGCGGCCGGTGTGTCAATAAAATGTGGCGCAGCTGGTAACATTCATAGGCAACTGGCAGAACCAGTTACTGAAGACGCAAAAAAATTTGGACAATCAAACGAACTGGTGCATATAGTCCCCAAAGATACTAATGTAGTTCTTATTCTTGTGTAGAAGCAATCAGTTCAAATGCCACATAAAACAATAAACTTCGAAGAAGATAAGATAATAGCAAGCTAGCAACATATATTCATAACATATTACTTGGTTCACAACAGAAGAACACTCACCCAACTCTGCTGAATGGGGAGAGACCGCCTTCACTTTTGGAGTAATAAAATACAGCGCGGTGGGTGAACTCTCACGTTCAAAACCACTGGGTTCCGCGGACAGAAGAGTTTGTACACGTACAATGTAAAACGTGTCTTCGCTAAGGTTGTGTAGGTCCAGCCACGTTTGATTCTAGAAATCGAACAAGATTCACACATTTAAGTACACGATATCATGGCTGCGATATAACTTGCATAGGTTGTCGAATGATGATTTAACTTAGAGGAAGACGGAAAGAATCTGAATCCCTGTTGATAGTGGTATTTGATTTGTCGAAAATGTTAGGTCTCAAAATTAATACTAAACAACAAATATGGATTTTCATAATCCCCTCAACCCAGCAGGTGTTTAAATTAAAACTACATCACAGACGAACTCTGCTACTTGGAAGAGTTCTTATTACTTTTATTGGTGCTCTACTCAAATTAACTATATGCACCCAACAATTCAGTTGCTTAAGTAGAATTATTAGAACGTTGCAACTGCACTAATATAGGTTTGGTGTGTAGGTTACCTAAGAAAAATAATGCGACGATTTGTATGGCATCACTAGAGGTTATGCAAGGGCGTGTCATCGGGGTAGAAGAAAAGTTATCTGATTTAAGTATTCACTCTATATCAGAGAAAGAACATGCTAAAAGAGTCACATCGGACTGTTTTCAAATTGCTGTCGATCGATGTGGTAAACAAAAGCTCCAGGTTCCCTTTTGACAGCGGAAAGTTACATTATTTTCATCAAAATTATGCGAATGTTGTCAATATTTTCTCTTGCAATCAATACAAACTTCCTACCACCTTACTCTTCAAGCACCTAAAAAGAGAAGAAGAAACTCTCGGCAGTACGCCGATGCGTCGTCTCGATACTTCACTGCCAAACGACCACTACCAGTCGACTACTGGCTATGAACGCAGCAATATCGCCAGCAAACCTACGAAGAATGAAACTGACACCTAGTGTGGATTACAGGCCAGTTTCATCATTCACTCGGTCACCGGTGCTAAACAACAATGCGAATTATGAGGCAATGCAGCTCCTGAAGTAGTAGTCGAAGTGCCGAACAGTACTTTAACTGAAGACACAAGTATTGCTGATTGTGAAGGTGGAGTGCGATAGGGATCAGGCGATGTAACCATGGAGACATAGAAGACTGTGTTGAATATCCACCTTTTAGACACATGGGTAAATTTAACGCTGATCTGTCGAAAAGCATTTCTATAATACGTTATCAGTTTTACGTAGCAATCAGTCGCAAAGGATGGGCTGCAACTAACGGCCATTAACTGCTGGCGCACGGTACTGCTTCAGGTGATCCATTGATTGGCGTGTCCTGCAACTTAGTGTTAGGGATGTCAACTCATTCTGTAGTGTGGAAATTTCTCTTAACACATTACTGATTAGATGAAGCCGAGCTGAGAATGGAAAAGAACAGCGGAATACATTGAGAACCTTATGCCATATAATGATTGGGAAAGAAGAATGTAGGTTTTAATTGTGCGGTGTGCTCTCGACACAGTGAAGTAAGGCACACACCTACGAGCAGACGGTAAGAAATAATAACGCGAGCGGCTCACTCCACATCATCGTTAGCTCAGGTCACACCCCGGGTTATCGGCTAAATCCCTCGTAAAATATGGACCAAACGTTGTGCACATGATTCCGATACGTTTTGCAGGGATGAAGTATGACCATGTTATTGAGCTGCGAGGATCAGGACTCTTTCCAAGTGGGAGCCTGTCATGCCCTTAAACACCCGTGTGGATCCGCAAATGTTGTGTGAAGATCTCAAAGGAGCATAATACTTAAATAGTGGTTACCAGGTTTCCAGGTTAAACGATCGATAGGAAGTGTAATAAGGAGACATTGTTTTCCTATTATCATGCAAAGCAAACCAGCATTCCAGATAAGGTGTTTGAGCGAAAAACCATCATTACCGGTTTTCAGAAAAGTAAACATTCCAATTTCATTGAGAAAGTCAAGACTAGAAATAATTGCTTGGTTAAGAAGCATTCTTCCATCAGACTAAGTTTTACATGGCAGCGATTGTGATGTAGACTTCAAATCGGAGTGAGAAATTATTTTCTAAGTTGTTTGAACTGTCAACTCGGTCAATTAAGGCCTGGCTATAGGCAGTAGATCAAACGAGCAAGGGAAAATTTTTACAACAAAACTCGACCATCCAAAGTAATCAACTCATGTAGCAAGCAAACGGTTATGTAACTGTTTCTGTTGGCCAAAATATAAGTATCGGGCGTAGGTACCACTTTCGCACACAAAATTCCGGCTTCAAATGGCGCATGTGTATGACCTCTGCAATGGGCAGTTGATGCTAGTGGAAGCGTTCCGGTAGTGAATGCCTTCACAGAAGCTGTGTGAACAAAATCAAGGTGTGCAGCATGTGGCCACCAGGCTGCTTCTCAATTTACGAGGTGTGCCGTACAAAGACCGGTTAAGAAACTAGGACTTTAAACCCTGGCTTATCGTCGACTGCGGGTTGACCGCATCATGACGCACTAGATAGTACATCTCGGTGAATACCCCATGTCGAGGCAGTTGCTTCATCTGCGCACACCAAGCAGAACACGAGGACACCGGTACAAGCTTGTAGTACCGGATTTGAACCCGGTCGCCCACCAAATCTGTTTCGACCAGAGCTTGATGAATGAATGGAACAACCTGCTGCAGCACGTAGTTGAGGCAAAGTCAGTGTCGGAATTTAATGAATTCCTGGACAAACAATTGACTGATAAAAATATACCGAACCCACTCCAAGATAACTGATTTTGTACCTGAGTGATAGTACACGCAGCTACACAGATATCTCTTCTTGCTGCTTCCAACCAGTAACCAGTTTGAGGATCGCTTTTTGACTTTGTAGAACCACGCCGAGATGTGCTCGGGAATCCTCTGAGATTGAAGCCTCGTATTGCGACCCACGTCTTATGCACCAAAGGAGCACGAATACTGATAAACGAGCACGGAACCAGTTAGCAAAGGGTTTTGCAAATAATGTGCTGCGAAATCAATTTTCTCACCAGCATCTTTCAGGCGCTGGGATAGGATTTCAGCGGCAGAGTCGTGCTTAAATTTAGGTGCATGAACAACTAATTTTAGGAACCATGCTTCTAGGCGGCTTTCGTTTGTGGTCCATCAAATGTTTTGTGATAACTTTGTTGGGGTAGCTATTTCCTCTTAGGGCGTTACTCATTCTCTGCACTTCATTGGCGGTATCCGGTGTGTAAACACATCCGCCATTTAAAACCGGAAGTTTGTGTGCGTAAATGTAAGTAAGCCCGAAACTTGTATTTTTTAAACAGACCCATTTTCCTATCCGTTTTCTTGCCACATGAATCGATTACTTTGGATTGTCGTGTCTTCTGTGTGCTATTTTCCTTTGCTCGTTTTATCCACTATGTATAGCCGGGTCTTAATTTGCTGAGTTAACTGCTCAAACAATAAAATTAGTTTCTCAGCCCATTTGATGTCTATAACACAAAGTCTCTGCCATGTAAACGTTTGTGTTTGATCAGAGTTTACGCGAGAAGAATTCTTACCCAATCACTTATTTCTGGTCTTGATTGTTGTCATAATACTATGTTTCGGACACATCCCTACAGATGCTGAACAAACCGCAATAGATGAGAGAAACAATGGATCATTCATAAAACCAAGATCGCTCTGGGCGGCTGAATAATATTGAATTTCATCACCACTTTGGTCCTACCAGATTTGGCTAGAAAGTTCGGTTGATGGATTTTTCTTGTGGTCCGTTGTAAAACCAGGACCGGTCGGGTGAATTGACACCAGCTACAGACGTGTAAAAGGGGCTTAAAATATACAACAATTAGTTATTCCCCCGGCATTTTCGAAAGTGAGTACACAAGTGTTATAAAACAATTTGCGAATAATTTAGGGCATTCTGCAGTGTATGTCGTTTCTTTACATTGTGCGTCCCATTGCATCTGCTTTAGATAATAAAAAATGCAAAATTGCTCCTGTTCTTCGATTAAACGAATACCATTCGAATCCCAGACAGAAAATGGTATCCTTCATATGCATGTAATGTATTTGACCATCTTAAAACTCGTACACAGTTCATATACACATATGATAGAACGTCTTCCGTAATACCAACCAAATGTGGTGTTTTGAACGGAGCTATTTTATTCTCCGTGCTTTGTTTCCTCTACGTCCAATGTTTACTCAAACCATCCAGTGTATTCGGAAGTTATTACACCGAAAGCATCCTCCTAGTGTGTATAACCACAGTAGTTGAGGAATCTTCGAGTTTAACGAGGATTAGAAAAAATGTTGACTTGATCAACTCCCTGTCCCTCAACATTTCCAAGTGTTGTGATTTCACCTTCTCCATTCTCCTTCCTGACAGATTGCAATCCCTTTAAATACCTCCCATCTTTTGATCGTGAGTGACCAAAATATTCGTCTTCTTGTCCTAAAAAGTTTCGGTGTTTTCTTATCTAAAAAGTTGTACTGCGTTTCATAAACTTTTTTTTACTATTTAAGAGTCAGCCTAACATTTTACGCTGTCGGGTTCAAAACGCCCTCCATACCCAGTGCAGTAACTTGTAACTGCATGTAATCACGCAATTGGCTGTACTGCTTTACTGTTATCTTCCACAAAATTTTTCAAATGGACCATATCATCCTTTTGCGATCATTAGAATTTGTTTTCTTTTGGCCTGGACTAAAGAAAGAAACCCCGCTTATTTTACAGCTGGTAAGCATTTTAACGCATGCTTCAACTTTTCATCCAGGATTTCAAACGCCTCCTTCTCTCACTCAGACACCTTGTTCTAGCCATTACGGTATCTATCTTTTCCATACGAACAACATATTAAGTTGCATTTTCGCGTATCTCGTCGTGTCGCAACTGCAGCTTGTCCCATCTGACACGCTGATCAGTCGACCTAAAAGCAACGATGCACCTGTGGCGCAACCGTTTGCTTGATTGAATACGAACTCTTGTTATGTTCCTTATCCCTTTATTTATTTTTTACAGTCACTATGCTTTGCTATAAACGCAGTGCCAGTGTAAATTGCTGAAACTGCTCCCACATGGATGTATAAAGTGAAGCTTGAATTGGGTTGACGAAACGTTAAGTACTATTTCACGATCGATGTTAAAACAGTGGAAAGTATGGAAGAAGAGATGTATGAGGTAGTTCGCAATTGTAATGAGACCGCTGCTACTCTAAGACAGAGAGCAGTCTTAGTATCGATCGGGGTTATCCGCTAGCAAATGAGTAACATCTGTGTAACCAAGAAATATGAAGCCACAAGAAAGTCAAGTGCTTGTTTGCGTGCTGCCCTCCTTATTTACGGTGACGTTCTCAGACCACATTGCGCTCTGTAGTAAACTAGATGTCTGTATATACGAAAAAATAAATTCAGTTTGTGTGAAATATAATTACCTTATGTACAATACGTGCGTCTGATCGCTGAAGATCCATCAACGGGCTGAACCCAACCGCGTCATTGTACATCTCTCGACTCACGGGTTCCTCAATTCTGGGTGCCCAAACGACGCGATACTTTATGTTTTGTAACAAGGAGACACCTGACTTTGTTAGTTTCCCTTTGGCCGCTCTGATCCACCGTTCCGTAAATATTGGCGGTTCCCACGAGATCCGATATCGCAACTGGCCGATCTCTTTGGTAATCAAGTCCAATGGAGCAGGTGGAGGTCCAGGATCTTGAGAAGGAAAATGCAATAACCATATTCTTTGGCAGTGTTTCTTCAGAAACACAAGAATTAGCATAAAATGAACCATCCCGACGTAAATACACCCACTAACACCCGAACCAGATCTGCCCGAGCATCAAGGAAATTTTTGCACTATTTTTGATTTGCTCAGTTCTCTTATTCTGCCGCATAGTTCGTGTCAAGCTCGCGTGCTCCTTTTCCTTCAAATTCTGTGTTGGATGTTTGATATCCCCGGTGTGGCTGCGCGTGTTGTGAATGTTCACAAAGTGCCCACCTGTCTAACATCATTCACCTCGATTACTGGCTCCAGGAGAGTGTGAATCGTTTCTGGCCGGGATGGAGTGCACGGTCCTAGTGGCCGTGTTGGCTGGAAGAGTGGCTCCATCCAGTGTGGAGCGGACTACGGTACAGCTACCGCCTTGTGTGTGTCTGGCAAGTATGGTCACCAAATTATATAGACAGAAATGCTGCTGCTGTGTATGTTGGAAGAGTGCGAGTCGGCTCCGTTGATGAAATGTGGCTCCCATTCACATGCCACCCGGCCTTGTTCATTTGGATATGTAAGGGACATTAGATGCGTGGATGGAACTGTGGGTGGTGTAAGACACTCATGGTTCCCCTGTGGGAGTAGAAATCCTGTGGCTGTCCCCAGTGGGGCCACAGTGACAAGCGAATCCGGAAGCAGTTTCTGCTATATATATATATATATATATATATATATATATATATATATATTGTTTTGCTGGGTCAATGCTCATCTAGACTGTTCGGCGATTATGTGAGCTTAATGTGTACAACAGGCGCGTTAAAGGTACTAACTGCGGTTTCAGTAATGCTATGGCACCCAGGCTCTATGCAACCCATTACAACACACCGTTATTTCGGGAATGGTACAAGTTCAGTTTAATGTACAGATAGAATACCTATTGACCACAAATGTTTACTTATATAACATGCTCAAATTAGGATGCGCTTGATAATGGGGTAAAATTCAGTTACTCATACATCCTGCCAGACCTTTCTGTAAGTGTTCTGGTTGACACTGGATTGCTCGTTCCTCTTTGGAGTGATAACAGGTAGTGTGAATTCACTTAATTCCGTCAAAAATTTCAATGTATCCCTTGAGTTTCCCTTCATGGACCACGGGGACAACAACAGCGCACAGTGATGGGAGAGAGCAACCCCGAAACCCTCCAATTCGGATGAGGTCTCAGTAATCGGAATGGCAAAGATTGACTTAAAAAGCAACAATGAGCTGAACTGAGATTTCGGATCACAATCCAGCTACGCAAGATTCTTGCAAACACAACTGTGAATTGCTAACCGCTTTACAAAGTGCTGCTCACGGACCGTAATGGTCTAGTGAGCGTGCCGATAGCCGCCAACCGCTAAGTTCCAACTTCCACTCCTAGCTCAGGCTACCTTTGCCTGATGAGGCTAAACGAGGACGAAACTGGTCGTGGGGTGTCAGTGTTGGGAGTGATCAACACCGAAACCCTTTCACTTCGGATACGGTTCTGGTGATCTGAATTATCGAAGTCTACTCCAAGGTAAACCTCGATTCTCATGGAGGTTGTGTGTAACAATCTATGCACACACGGCGGGTACTTCGAAATTCAATAATCATCATGTCTCTGAAGCTGGCTTGAGTTTGATCTAGGTCACCTACCACAAACACAAAGGTCGCTGTTGAGCCCACAGGTGAATTCACAATAGAGAAGGACAGCTGTATTGGCCCCAAGAAGGCGGATAACCTGATTAAGCTAGGTACAGTCCATGAACCTCATGTTCCGGTTAGCTCATTCTAGCGACATTCTAGCCAAGACAAAAATAGAAATGGTATAGGATAGGCGAAAGTGAACCTTGAGGTGGTGAAAGAACAAAATCGTTTGAGAATGATTGAATGAATTTGCATAGACGGCAATTTAAAAGCACACTCTAGGAAAAAACGTCAAATGTGTGCGGACATATTGAAAATTATGAAGGGGGATTGTTTAATCAGACTACCTTAATAGAATTAAAGTTGGCTCATTTAATTTAAGAAGTACCGCCTAATGTCGAGTGACAGGTATATTCACCCCTCAAAAGAATCACCAACCAGGAACTTGTAGGATAGTTGTTGGGTGCGCACATCATACACAACCATGTTACTCATAGAAAAGAAAAGAAAGGCATCAGCAGTATGCCGGTACGCAGTACGGATGCTTTGCTGCCACGCAGGTGGGCTAGGGATACTACGAGGATCGCCCGATCCCTACGCAGGCTCGAACGCGAGTCATCAGATGACAAGACAAGGTTGTTAACTTCAGGCTACGAGCCGGCATGTTACTCATGGGGTACGCTGAAAACGTCAGCTCAACTGAAAGAACTAATATGTGAGGACCGTATCGAATGTCCAAGGTCAAGACGAAGAAGGAATCTACGTCATGAGCAGAAGTGGAATACAGCCAAACTCTTCCGCTACAGATCTGCAGCGTGGAGTCTATGGGGACGAGTCTACATGTTCAATATGGTCTATAATTTTCAGTAGAATACACTGTCCGATTGTAATATACGTCCGATTCGGTACTTCAAGTTCGTTCGCATGCGACAAGAATAGTAATCTTCCAACGACCTGAAGGGCTGGAATGCGGCACAAACACCTCGCAGACGACTGCATTGATAATAACAAAAATGATGCGTATTTTATTGCTCTGCTTGACAAGTGACTACTCATGAGAGGCATAGGTCAGTGTAACACTGCAACCCACGACTGGTTTCGCCTCGGTTGCTCTCCTCGGGCAAAGCTAGCAGGGCTATGGCTGGAACCCGGGACTGTTGGGATATCAGATGATATCACAACTGAACAAGATGTCAAGCCGAAGAAGATGCACATCGAGAGCATCATATTCCGTACTGAATATGACGAGGTGTGTCCGAGGAGAAACAGCATGGTAAACATAAGAGGAAACCACAACGGCAGTCGTATGAGGCTCCATTGACTTCTTTCATTTCAGCAAGTTGTACGAAGTCCCAAGAATCGGCTACGTGTTAGAGATTTTTATTCACCAGTAAATCTAGTGCTGACGAATGAATCTAGTGGTACTCAAATATCTGGAGCAGTGTACCATAAAACCAAGTCTGACTAAGCTAGCAATATGCGTTATTTTCTGTCAAATTCAACTTCAGTTATCGCTAGGAAGAAATAAATGCTGTATTTGACTTGGCTACATTCACTCGCTGCATTAGAGGCACTCAGATTCAGTTAATTAGCTGTAGTTAAATTATTTTCCAAGCAAAATAGCACATGTCTAAACGTACCTGGTAGACTGCAGTTGACCGGTGAGGTTCCAGCATTCGACTCCATATCAAGACAAGATGGCGTACAAAAGCAGTGATAAGTGGTCGCTACTTCATCGTGCTTTCTTCGGCGTGGGGCATTGTGAGTAATAGACCATTGGGACGATCGATGTTCACTTTCTTCATGTGTTAGTTGCTTGATTCGTATAGTGTAACGGCAGCTGAATCTTAGATGGCCAAGTGACACTAGTCGAGCCTAAAACACGAGGGTGTGCTATGGAATAGGCTGTCACAAAACAGTATTATGAGACAAGATACCAAGGGTTAGGTCACCAGTACTGCTGAAAATGGTACGTTGTGGTTTTAGAAATTGCAGTGGCAAACTGTATCCGTGGAGTATGTAAAACTACTGTTCAACCTCGAGGTTGATAAAATTCAAGCAGAGAGGAATCCTGATTGGACGCATAGTAACTTATAATATCTAGACGCTATTGCTAGTAAGTGGTCTGCAAAAGCAACTAAAAATAATAAAAATAAAACGTCCATGAAGCGACTCACTTTTCCTCTAACTTTTAGTGTTTGGCGCAGAGATACGGGTTCCGTCTCACTTGGATTGATGCAGACTTGGGGTGCCCACTCAAGAATATAATTGGCACCGGCCACCGCTAAAGAAAGAAATATCTATTAGTTCCACTTGCTTATGGATAGCATACGAAAATTGATTCAAAATCTGAAGTATCGGTTTCAGCCGACGTGGACACTGAATAGCCCATTGGCAATGTGGTTACCCACAAGTTACGAATGTCTAGACTACTTTTCACTTGTTAGTAGCGCAAGAAAAATCAAAAGGCGGATGCCATCTGTGGAGGTGCGTGCATGAGTCGTGACACATTCAGGCGACGAAATTATCCTTAGGTAAATATAGCTTACGTGGATTGAAGACAAACGTGGCTATGAGTTCCTCCTTGTCGTAGAACATACGCTTTAACTGCAACAATTTGGTTGTCAGCGAATCAGTATGACATTCACAATTGGACGCATTTGATGACTGTTGATCTTGAAGCATTGTGGTGGCTACATGATGAGAGGGAAAAAGTGGTTCGATTTGTGCTTCAGCCTATCAGATGGATCATGGATAATAATATGAAGATAAATAACGCATAATATGCTAAATGGTTACAATGAGCACAATCATTCTCGTCACCTATTGGGCACGAGAATGATGATGACTCATATACCTTGAAATTTCTACCCACCATCAAACTATTGATGCAAACGTATGCGGGGGGTGGAGGGTGCAAGAAAATCTTTCCGTTACAGAATGATACAGAACGCACTACAATAACTCCAGTCGCATGCTTACCAAAATGCTTGCTTTCTATGCGATTAAAATACACCACTTCTAACAAGGAGCGCAGACCGCTGCATCGTTCTTGATTTGCTGGCATTTTTGCTCAATCAAGTCCTATGTCACAGGAGTGTGCAAATGTGCCATTTTTCGTCGTTTTGGGAACAGACAAGACATCTGGTAAACCGTAAGAATGAAGCAGTGCTTCATCTCATTCCCTACGGACTTTCAGTCCTACCAGTACCACTAGAAGGAACGCAAAAAACAGTTCATAAACCAGGATACTGAGAATTATTAAAGTAGTTGAGCCAATTTTTAAGTGAAACACGTCTGCCGCTTGTCGTAGATGCTTCAGGGATGAACGCCTTTAAGAGACTTTGAGTATGGGGTCACTTACTGCTAGGTATTTTGACATCGATTATGGGGACGAAATTTCACCGACTGCTTCACGGATAAGGAAATTCAAGGCACCTTGGAGCAGCTGGGACGCGAGGTAATACGTTATGAATTATGCGAAGAAACGAAGGGAGGAAATTTAGTAAGCATTTATAGGATGTCGCACATACATTCATTAACGGAATTAGAACGTCGGATCCGGTTTCGTCCGCTTGACAGGTAGATAAAATAATGGGAAAAGTTACCTGCTCCTAGATAGGTCGTTGTGAACCAAATGAAGGTGCGTTAGAGAATTAGTATGCAACATTCACAGACGGAGTCGGTGCGCGACTCCGCAAAATGCAGGGTATTGTGAAACATTTGCCAAACTAAGGATACGCTGCAAACACGTCATCCAGTTGGTGGCCTATCCCGTCTGATGTTATGGATTCTGAAATTCCTATGCCGCGACTCCCTAAGTCCTGTGCGAGTCTACAAGAAATCTCGGAAGTTCACCAAGAAGCTGGTGTGCAGCTGGATTTTCTTATCGCTTATCCATATGTTCCCTGTTGACTACGAAAGCATATCAGAGTTCACAGGCAAAGTTCAAGAAGGGCTGATCGCATCACTCTTAAAGTCCATCCCCAGTACGATATGATCACAGGAGAATGGGATAACGGTCAGCGAAATATCAGTTAGCATGTGGTTCTGAACTTCTAATTGTAATGCGTTGCTGTAGCACATAGTACAATCACCACACACATCTAACTGGCATTAGCTATCACAGAGTAGCTGCAATAGATGGTCGATCACTTCAGTTAGCTAGATCGTTATTCACCATTGATGACCAAGTCCCCGAGCAAGCGACTACAGGTACTCGTAAAAAGGCGTGGATTATAAATTGACAATCATCTTTGTAGGCTGTGACCTAAGCTTGCGGTACTGCCTTGAAAGTATAACGTAGCGCTGCGTCCCAATCCATTGTATGGATCTGAGACCCTGGTTGCATATTGGTAAACTGGGTTATCGGACCATCTTCACGCACACGGAGTCGCTTGTATTTCCCGGAGAAAATTAGTTTGGTAACCAATACTAGCGTTTCCGTGAATTGCACCCAAACCTTTCATGCTCCTACTTCACGTTCTTGAAATTTTCCCCGGTTTTCTACCGCGGGGTATATCATGCATGAATACTACACTTAGTTACATGATTTCGCAGAGTGGTCAAACGTTAGCGCACCAATAGGCATGAAGGAACTGACGGAACTACGTGGTCCGTCTGGTACATTCTGCCTTTTTGTGTGGGACCCACGGGACGAGTAGGATTAGAGTCCAGACAACATTCAGTTTGATACGATGTTGTCACAAAGGCGGTGGGGGTGTTGCATTTGCTCCATACGCGTTTGGATTCCTACATGCCAATTACACTTTCACATTCCTTTTCTTGTCCCCCGCTTGGTTGAGTTTTTCTCTCACTTTTCCCCTGCAGTTAACTAGTCTTGTTCCGGTTGCAATGTGGATGGTAGTAACTGTTCTTCAGCATTGGAGTTACAACTGACTGTTGACGGTAAAACCGTACCGGTAAAGGATCCTGTTATGTAATGTCGAGGCCAGTTATACAATGGCTAACAAACGACCCTGCGGTGCCTCCCCGAAACATGCGATTGGCTTGCGTCGTCTACCAGTCATGTCATCTTGTTCGATAACCGTTTGACCGCAGAAAGGGAAGTGTCGCTTCCTAAGAATGATCTCCCTGGTGCAAAGCTCACAATGAGTAGTGCATTACTTGGCGGAAAATTATTACAGAACTATATGGGATGTCTAAAGTGTGATAAGTTTTTGATGCATAGGTTGCGCAGAAGAAACTACAAAGGTGTTTATAAGCCGTACCGAATGCTGCACGATCGAAGGAGCAAGTTCTTCCTATCGTAGCTCATGCTTCCAATGCATTTCCTAGGAGTAAATCAACTTTAACTGCAAATTCGCGACATAGCTTTTAAATGCCATGCGTACATAACTACGATGTAGTGGAGACCTTGACCTCTGGAAGCTAGTCACTGTCCTTTGCAATGATAGGAAGGTATATGGCAGTTGGCTTGCAAATTATGACGGTCTACTGCCATCCCCGAAGGTTTAAGGGTATAAGCTACTGGCCAGTTGGCGCAAGCTGCTGGTGGTCATGAGTTCATTCTCCTGAAAGGACCATGGGAATGCGCATTACTATCAGACCCCGATGGGGCGAAACGGCCGGCTGGTGATTTTCCACATGGTGGTTAGACTAACGTAGAACTTCCGGGACGGAGCAGGAAAAATACTCCAAGATATGTCGCGCAGAGTAGAGATAGACGATTAATCGAAAGCCATTAAACAGTAGTATGCGTTCCGCTGGAACCTCGCGCGATTTTAACCGGTGGATATCCTGTTGGAAAATGGCGAATTAAGCAACTAGGCCAGGAAGATGACATTAAACTCAGGTGGCTGCTCTGTTGCTCGATACATCGAAGCCCACAGAACACTGCAATGCTGGTCATTAGTGTTCAGTTAACAGAAAAACAACGTCCCCCATTAAACTGTTAATATTCGCATGGCTTTTGAAGCTAAGCCGAGCAAGGGATAACTTTAGGTGGCTTTAGTGTTATTAACAACATCCGTCATGTGTCGCTTCTGTTGCTTCTCATATTTGTGGGAAGCCGATTTGTCGGAATTTTAATCCACCGTGGTTCCGTGTTTGGAGCATTGATTTCTCCAACTGAGTATGACAAGAACAGAAAAGGTCCGCAAATGTTTTGGTGCGTACTGCATCCATTAAATAGTCTGTAGTTCGCTCCGATGGGATCTGGAAACATTATGGGCGTAACCATGAGTGAAGGTGTTTCGAACCCAGAGAGAATTGATGAGTATTCCGATATTCATATTAACCTCGAGTTGCTAATGGACTATTGGCGATGTTGTGATATACAATGAATAGGTTACGAAATCAGCAACATTACAGTATGATTAAACGTAAAGACATTTGATAATATTTAACTTTAAGTACTTAGATGGATAGTAAAATATGACAAGGGATGTTTAGATCAGCGCGCATCGAGAGGAAATGATAAATGCGAACGTTTCCCCAATTTGGATCCTATTGTATACCTGGATATGGAAGGCGTGAGCAGAGCAATTTGCAGTCACGTTCGTCTGAGATAATAATATGGTGGCCTACCTCATGGCAAACCCAAAATATTGGAGATTATTAAATTGCAATTAGTAGGATACATATTGTTTCTTCAAAAAAACCGAGATCCATTGTGGATCTAGTAATAGTACCCAGATTTCGGTCGCACTCAACGAGGAGAACAATGAGCGTGTGATTGTGTGTGTGCTTGTATGAAAAGACTTGACTGACAAATTGTATCGCTTCGTAATAAACAATCTGTCTACACCGATCCGTGAGAGATAAGCTTAGCTGTCAGGGACCACGATATTCCGCAACGTTCTTATTCTTACTCGGCCTACACCCGATTTGGGATAAGCCAAAAAACTAGAATGCAATCAATCCAACAAATTATGACCTATTCCTTCAAACTGTGTGGAATAGCAAGCACATAGATGAAAGTCAAACCATTGCGAAATTGTTGATGTTGTTATAGGTCTCAAATATAGGGCCAAACCTATCAAATATTTAAGCTTTTTGCAAAGTTACTACCGGTGTAGCGTCACACTGGTTCTCATCGTAAGAAGCGTGAAAAGTTGTCACAGCGCCCTGTTCCTAGCGCTGATGTCAGCTGTGAACTAATCCGTTGTTATTCCGGGAGTTTGACGGTCGGATGTTGAACAGGCTAATGTGCATACTATCGAGTGCACCAAGTCACCTAATTGTTAACACCTGTCTGATTCACTTAAACAGCCGCATCTCAAGCAAACTGGCAATGTTTTGATCCTTGGATAAAGTAGCAAATGTCACATTATGCGGTCGCTTTAAATAAACCGCTGTCATTTGGAGTTGACCTCTATGGCAAATTAGTTGCGCGCCGGATGAACCCATTAGGCGATTCGTCAGGATGCATCTCGTAGGCATACTGATCTTCACTGCATGTAAATATTTGATCTTTTATCCCATCTACTTGGGTTCTGTGGTCAAACAGAGCGTATGCACCAAATTAATGATGAAAGGTTGTCCAACGACACTCGCGCAATGAAAATGAATTAATCACTTCTCGTCGTGCGCAGCTGGTCCACCTTGTGGTATCCATACCCTTTGGTGGAAGTGTGGACCACAGTTGGCTGGTTTGCTGCACGTTCGCTGTCCCATAAATCGTTTAGCTTTCACTTAACACCTCAGCTTGAGACGGTGACCTTTGAACTTTGACCTCAACATGAGTGTAACATTATGCGAGTAAACTATCATAACGGTACTGACTCGTAAAGCTACTTCGAGAGAAAGCAGTTAACACAGCGGGAGTGCCCACCTCTGAATTGTTAGGTGTCAACAGCCTCTGTACTATACACCAAAAATTCTTGTTATATAGTAATTTTGTGTTTCTCTCGCTGTAACTAATACCTATGGAAAAGCTGATGATCGTACAATGAGGGTAACAACCGTGGCTACGTTCAAAGTCAATATATAGAAAACTGGAAAGCTTTACTTTTTCCAACGATCTACTAACCTAACCACACCCTTCATAAATGCATCCTAGACTCACGGGAATCTGTAGACTTAACATTTGTTTGCGTAGCAGAAATTCCACTGAACGCAACCAGACGAAATGATTGGCACTAGGAAGCTAGTTGAATTTTGCTAGACCATTAATTTGGCGTAAATGAAAATTCTAGTTCCTACAACTACTATGAACGCGTGCACTTGTAAAATAAACACCCATGTACGCCTGGGTTGTTATGAATTGAGTGCTCTCACAGCTGTTTGACTAAACGATCCACCGGTATACCAAATGTGCCGATTCAGAATTGAAAAACTGCAGGAGTGGTTGGCGTGGATAAACTACACTAGCCAACACGTCCTAGCACTTCTATCAGGCACTTTAATGCCGAGGAGAGGAGTTTGATCATCTGCACAATTAAATCACATCTGCACACGGATAGAGCAGATAAATAGTATGCGCCCTGAAGGGGTGCATAAAAGCTGGTCGTGCAGAGCACGATGGTGTTGCGGTGGTGGAGTGATCCAAAGACGGCAAATTCATCCACTACATTCGGTAACCATCGAAGCTTAGATGGGTACTCCAGTAACTTTCGCAGAGCGATGTAGTTGAGTTAACAAAGATGCCGGAGTTTTTAATTACACAGGCTTAAGTTGAAGGTAAATTATCAGATCTGTGTGGTTATCTGACACTAGCGTAGCCTTTCCAATGTCAAGCGGCAACATCTGTTTTTCAACTCAACAGATTTCAAACGATAACCATAGTGACGACGAATATCAAATTCAGTCAGATATTGTTGTTCCCCTTGTGAAGAGAAACACTCAGCTCTAGGCTGGAGATATTTGGATCTTCACTGTGTTTACTAGCTGCTTAGCTCCAAAATGCAAATGGTGTGAAGTAGCACAAAGACGTAGTATTAGTGCATGTTCTCAGGTGATGATCGGACAGAAAATATGAGAGCAGGTTGCAGCTCATTCGATGAAGCTTATAGTTCAAATAGGAGCAAATGTCAGCGATTTTCTCATCAAGCCATCTCCCTCATCCGGTGAACCGAAAATCTTTGCACGCATAATACAGTAATACGACGGAGCTAACCTGCGACCATACCCTGTTCCCCAAAAGTCTGAGGAGTAAAAACCGGTGGAATCGTGTGCGTGGATAGGAAGATTGTGTTGGGTTGCGATTCCAAAGGACCATATCCTATCCAGAACGCTACGGCACGTACCTTGAGGAGAGAAATGAGAGATAAAAAGGCTGTCTAGTCATCAAGTGTGCACATTAGCAGCTTTAAAGACAGTGGGCACAGAATAGGTTACTTAGACATCCTGTTAATATGCCTCCTTTTATATTTGTGCAAACGGCAAGGCATCTAGATCGTTTAACGCGACATGTTCCTTATGATGCCAAATGGTTCTGCTTTCTGCACAAGTGAATTATCACTAGCTCTAGTGAACTATAATGATAGCTACGAAGGTCCATGGCGAGACAAATGGGTAAAAACAAATTAGCATATCATAAAAATGCGAATGCTTACTTGTACTTTGTATGACTTAGATGGTTTCAAGTCTTGTATCACATACTGCGCCTTGTCCTACAGGAAGTGAAGCAGAAGTGTTGAACGACGTCCAATAAGTCAAAATTAGTCTGTTAATGGAAGCTATTTAGAACAAGGTGGAACAACAACAACAATAAATACAGAAATGGTTTTATTCTCGCCTACAAAGGCGAGTGAAAATACCGCAATCGATCGGGTATCATGGAGAAGTAAAAATGTCTTTGGGAATGAAGGTGAAGTAACTAAATGCACTACATGAAACGTAGAACTGATAGACTAAAAACGCGATTAATGAATTAGTGACAGTTGAGAGACGTTACTTGCAACTTGAACTCCCACTCTGCAGTTCAACAATCTCATAACGAACTGGCCCACCAATTGTCAGTGACGAATGAGGTTGATGAACCGAACGCTGACTAGGATCGTGTACCATGAAGAATACCTTTGACGCCTGCTGTGCACCCAGCTTGGGACGTCGTAAATGTGAATGGATTTCTGAAGCATCGATCAGTTTGATTGGAGCACAGAACCAGTTTCCAGTTGGCATTGAGCTTCAACGTGTCAGTAAATCTCTGAAATGACGTCTGACACAATCTCCGAAACGACCGTTAACTTTGGTGGATGGCAAAGTCTCGTGAGGTGAAGAAAGCCTACACTATTAGGAACATCCGAGTGCTGTTCCAACTCATCCGGAGCACCAGTCTAAGAAAGCCATAAGTTAGTGAGACAGTAGTTGAGAAAGATGACACTTGATACATTCTCAACCTCGTCCAATAACGCGTTGGGCGGAACATTTTGAAGAGCAGATCAGTAGACCTGTTGTGACATTGACGCTTGCTAAAAGACCTGAATCGATGGGGAAGTAAATGTCACACCACCCACTTTATAAAAGATTAGACGCGCGTTTTCCGTGTTGAAACGAAACAATGCCCCTTAACTCGACGACACGGCTCCATCTTTGCTGAAAGCTGTAAGTGACTTTTGTTACCTCTTTATCTAAGACGACTTGGGATGCTGAGGAAGTGCCTTCAGACTTGCGACTATCAACTGTTGTCCCATCTTCAACAAGAGGCAGCGTACTTTGGTGAAACTCATTGAGACATTAGCCTTATTTCCACTGCTACCAAACTTCTCGCGGGTATCACTCTCCGACGAATTACTCGTCCTAGTGAGAACAGAATCACAGGGTGGCTTCCAATCTGGTCATGTTTGCATCGAGCACATATTTTCTCAGCCAAGTTTTAGAGCAAAGACACACCAACAGACGACCGACTATAGTGCTTTTTCTTGACTTGAAAGTCGCTTTCGACTCTATTGATCATGTTAACTTGCGGCATTGCCTATCCCTGAATAATCTGCCGGCTATATTCTTTCTATTCTGCAGTCTCTTTGTGTGACTGCCGATTCTGTGTAGGAGTTTATGGGGAGCTGCCCCTGAGTTTCCCACGACAAGTGGGGTACGCCATGGTTATCTTAAATATCTTTTCTCCTTCAACTGTTATCGAAATGCTCATGAATGACTCGGTTCTTCTAGACTATTTTGGCTCGAAGGTTTTGTCAGGCGACCGATTGACAGATGTTGAGTATGCGGACCAAATAGCTCCCTTTGGGTCTGATGCATTAGCAACACAAACGTTACTGCACAGACTTGTGCGTGGCGCTGCACGCTTCAGCATGTACTTTGCACCTTCAAAGTACAAAGCGTTGTTGCAGCATTGGGCCGACACAGTTCCGGTTTTAGCTATCACCGGACAGTCACTTAAAATGGTGAATAGATTAAATTACCTTGGTAGCTCCAGTGGTCAGATCACTGAGGAAGTTAATTCGCGTATCAGCAAGGTACGTGTGGCTTTCCAGAGACCCAACCATATACGGAGACGGTGAGATGTCAGCCTGTGAAAGGCAGGGTGTATAACGCTGCGCTAAGGCCTGTGTTACCGTATGGCCAGTTCGCGGCGAAGACATTATACGCTTGGCCGCGTTTGACCCTTGGTGCTTGCGGAGTATATCTCACGTCTGATTGGAACACCGGTGAGAAATGCTGAGGTCCGCCAGCCGATTTTGTCAATTAGCCGTGTAGTGTCTCAGTCAAGTGCCTGCTACATCTTAGTCGCTTACGTTGAGTAATTTGTGTGCCCCGTGTGCCCGTTCACCGGCTTCCTCGGTGTGCATTATCCCTTCAAGTCCTGAATTAATTTACCTATAGCTCGACCTGAACCACGAAATTTTACTCCACACACTGTAGAGCAAAGTATCGGAGTGCTGGCCTTTACTTAATTGTTGACAGGCTATTGTACGTATCCTCTCGAGTATCAGCAGGAATAACGCTTGCTCTGAAGCAGTGTTACAGTTTCAACAAAGTGGTACTTATGAGTACCGACAGGACCCAAAGGCTAATACACCGTGGCCGCAACAACTTGGGCGAAGCCGCCAGGCAGCCAATCGAGAAGGTGGCATAGAAGCAGAAAGAACTTGACTAGGAGACTTGGTCGGGCTGTTGCATGCCGTCTTGGCGGATGTCGGCTTCGGGATGGTCCACACCAACGGTTGGTGACCGTATCAGACATGGCGCAGTCACGCAGTCAGTGGCGTTTCTGCATTCTATTTCTTGCATCTGGTGCTTAATTTTTCTATTCTGGTTAGTTGAAAGCATCACCTTGCTTCCACTTTCTTTACACTTTATTTACATTCAAACCCAATAGCTTGCCATCGTAATATCTTGTTATTCTTGCGATGTGGGTACTGGCAACTGCATTCGATGCACTTCGGTGTGATACGCTGTCAGCTCGTACCGTAGGTCTGACGTTGCACCGTTTGGTCCCGTTCACAATGCATGTGTCCATACCTGTCAGCTTCCGATTTTGTGGCTATCTAGTCTTCCGTGACTCTACTCCTATCGATGCTTCCTTTCAACACATACACGCTGGTGACCACCTTCGACCAAGTTCGTCCAGAACAAATCGCGCAGTTGTAAATTGTTTCCGCGACCATAAGATGCAGGGTGCATGCACAGCTTCCCTCAGTTTGATAGTTCATGTTTACCGATGCATGAGTTCACCAATTCACGGCAAGAATGTTGTGAAATATAGTTCGGCGATGAACTCGATCTAAGTGTTCTTTTTCTTATACAATAATATGCTAACAAAAAGTAAACTTGTGATCTAAAATCCCAAATTTGGCGTACTCGCAGTCAGATTGAATATCAACGAACAGTGTATTCCTTTCCAAGTATATTAGGCGGCAAATTTCCACCGTGACTAGCACAGTTACTTTGGTATGTTAATCAATATGCACACAGACAAAAATCTTTCAACTTAGTTGCAGAGTAACCTCATTTCGAGGTCACCAGTCAAATGTATTTCTAGAATCTTACTGCTATGTCTTACTTCCATTTTTCGTATTTGTGTACGCAGCCAAACATTTTCCTACCATGTTCTTATCACTTAACGTTTCACTGTTTTCCTTCCCACGAGCCCACTGTAGTAACGGGGAATCATTATTATGCAATGGAATAGTTCGATAGAATGAGCTTAACAAACGGAGGAAATTGAAGGGAAGGCATCAACTGTTAGCCCCAAAGAGCTTGCATACGTCCCCATTAAACTTAGTAAAAGCTCGACTTCATGACTTCGTTCACATGCTCACGCATGTTGATCCCATAATTTTCGAGTTCTCTCTTCGATGGTTCAGTTTCTCTCTCTCTCTCTCTCAATATATATATATATATATATGAGTCATATATAGGGTTTACATTGGATATGGGGTATGTGAATGGAGCTGTGGGTGGTGCATCCCAAACCATCCTTGGTCCCTCCGTAGGCTCAGTCATTCTTTGGAGACCACAGTGACAGGCAAATCCGGAACCGAATGCCACCAACCGAATAGAAAAGAAAGTACAGAACCAAGTATATATATATATATATATATATATATATATATATATATATATATATGTATATGGTGCGTCGAGGCAGATTATTGTGTGGAGTTTAATCGTGACTTCTACTTTCTACGAACCTTACGCTACTCACAAACATCCTTCAAGTAATCTACCATCGCCCTTTGGACATCAGAAGGACAGTTACTTCGGTCCATTGGGAAGTGACGAGTGAGTGAGCCAATCTGCAACACCAGGACAGATACTGTGAGCTCATTGGCAATACGTCGCGCACCAAGCAGAAGTCATGTATTAAATTGCGCACCTAATCGTCAGCCCTCGGTAGCTCAGTGGTAGAGCAGCGGACCGGAAATTCGTTGGACCGGGGTTCGATTCCCCGTCGAGGCAGATTATTGTGTGGAGTTTAATCGTGACTTCTACTTTCTACGAACCTTACGCTACTCACAAACATCCTTCAAGTAATTGCAAAGTCATCTGAGGTCTGTCCACTCAGCTGCAACCTCACCCGCATACCACTGTGCGGACATCCAAGTAAATATATAGACATAATCGGACAACCAAATTTATCCAATACCAGCGATAATACCTCGCCGTTCACCGTATCAAATTCTTTGGTGAAATCAACAAACAGCGAATATAACGGTTAGTGTGTTCTCTACACTTCTGCTGCAACTGACGAGCCGCAAACACCATATCGATGCTGCTGCGACCCGAACGGAATCCACATTGCTCTTCCGCCACGTTCGGTTCCACAACCTGATTGACGAGACTGTTGAGCAGGATTCGGGCAGTCACCTTGCCCATACAACTCAGCAAGTTGTTGCTAAGATAATTCGTGGCACATTGCTTTCTTACTTTGCATAAGGGCATCATTCAGCTCAGGAGGCACCTCCTCCTCAATCCACACGCATCGCACCAAGTAGTGCAGCGCAGTCACCAACGCGAGTCGGCCGTGTTTCTATACTCCAGGCGGGATCCCGTCGGCACCGGCACACTTCTTGTTTCCCAGATGAGCAAGTGCTCTCTGCGCCTCATCCAGTGTCGGAGTGTCTGTCAGACTCATCTTCACATCGTGCTACTTCAGTCTACTTCAGTCAATCTCCGAATGGTCGTTCAAGATACGATCAAAGTGATTTCGCCAGATCTGCATTATGTCTGCAGTCTGTGTACAGGCAGCGCCTGAGCTACCATCGATCAGTGTCCTCAGCAGTTCCAACCTCTGTCCATAGTACGCCTTCAAGGAGTCAAAGAATTCCTTGTGTTGGCGGCGTTCGCCGTAGCATTTTATCTGGTTCGCCTTCTCCGTCCACCATGCATTTTTAATGCGACGGAGCTCTCGAGTCAGTCACCGTCGAAGTTTGCGAAACTCACTCTTCTTCCCCAAGTTACTGGGCTGTGCCACATGTGCAGCAAATGCTGCATTCTTCTCAGCCACCAATGCGCAAATCGTCACATTGTTCGCATTAAACCAGTCAGGCCGCTTAGTTCGCGCCCACGCTAGTCTCCTTGGCTGCAGCTGCCAACTGGTCGCGAATGTGGTGCCACAGGTCGCCCACTGTGGCCATGCATCCCACATCTCACAGGCGTCCAGGCATCGCCTTCTCCACCTCAATCGATTTCGCCACGGACCGAGAGAGAGGATGTTAAATTTACGCCGGTTCACAGCAAGGGTGCAATACATAGATGTACGAAAATATATGTACAGTTTGGTCCGCACTAAATTGTGAGCAGTGCCACACTCAGGTCCACGCAGTACACGTGCCATGCGCACTTCAGGCACTTCACGCTGACGTACGATGAAATATTCGATCAGGTGAATGTGACCACTCCGTGGGTGCGTTCAAGTTGCTATATCACTCGCACTCAGTGTAAACCGTGTGTTCGTGATCATCAGACCGTCAGTCGCACACAGTGCGAACATCCTGTCACCGTTCGCATTCGCTGAACCAATGCCATGCGGACTGATGACCTCTGTCCACACCGATGCGTCAAGCCCAACGCGCGTTGAAAACACCCAGCAGAAAAAATCGGTCGCTGCTCGGCACGGACCGTATCACGGAGGATAGCTATGTAGAATTGATCAAGCCACATGTAAGTGGCAAACTTACCTCTTCCGTGTGGTAGACGGGCAGTCACCAGTCGCGTGCTGATTCCAGTCGGCTCACCCACCAGCGGGCCATTTAAGCAATCGGATAGTGCAAATCCGACCCCATGTTCAAGTGGTGCGAGGTGGCGTTACCCACCCAATAGAACGTGCAGCCAGCACCTGCTTCATGCAACTTACCTTGCTCAGCGATCCATATCTCACTGAGCGCCGCAATATCGATGTTGTAGTGTGCCAGTTCCATGGCGACCAGTGCTGTGCGTCGTTCGGGGCGTTCACTCGAGTTCCGGTCTAGTAGTGTGCGCACGTCACTTATGCCTTCCTACTCAGGTGCAAGTCTCTTTGATTTCATATAATGGGACAAACACTGAATCATCCTGGTTACCCGCGATTTAATCTGGTTTCACTATAGGCACTTCTCGCTTGGCGACCTAATTCACAAGAGTCCTTCGACTGCTAGTGTCATCAGGGCACTTGAGTATATTGTCTTATGGGGCAGGTTTCGCATCTCTTTTTTTTAAAAACCAGTCGCGGGTGCCTGTGCACAATAAATTTGGTGGCTCGAAGCGAAACAAAAATGCATCAAGAACTGTCGATCAACGGTTTAACTTATTATGGAAGATGTTCGAACAATCAAATCTATCCGTTTTTTCTAGCTACCGGAAATATTCACAAGATGGAATGGAAAGTGTGCCATTCAATCCTGGTTCCTTGGCAGATAAACTACCTTACTCTCCATGCGTTTTCAATAAACAATCGTGGGAAAAATACGACGGCCGCATCGCCTTCCATACCACATTCTCTAAAATAGATATGCCTACTCAGCGCAGACTGCCTGGTAAACTGATAGTACCACAATTGATTCAGATAGACCAGTCACAGGTATCAAACACTGCTGAAACCTTGCTAAAACAAAAGATTTAATCACTTCACATGAACCGGTTGGAGCAACATGGTATTTGCAATATTCCCTTCTCAAAATCCAACTGTGGAACATTCTTGCAGCAGTAATCACAAATTCCTTCACTGGGTCCAAGAATAAGCCTTGTAGGTTTTACTTTCTCATAATATTATTGTATGCAAGGTGAAAAACCATACATCATTTCATAGCGAGAGAGAGTAAACAGCTAATTGATTGATTCGTTATGTATGTCGACCAAAGATGCTCCCCAATATGTTATCTAACCCTTACCAAGTCTGCGACAGTACAACGAGGCACTTATTTCATAGGATTCTTGAACACATCCCAAAGTGGTTTTACAGAGCTAAAGAGGTCTTCCAATTCCATCATGTCTCATCTCCTCCTGTACGATCATGCAGGCTTTGAAAACGATTTCAGAACCAGCTACTCCTTCCCTAAACGATTCTTGCGCGGATTCCAGAGAGGTCTCCTATGCATTGCTGAGGTTATCTATATTCGTCACTACTAGCCGGAATTGTAAGTACACAAACAATGTACACGCCCTCTACTTCTACCGTGGCCGACATTTGTCGTTTCATGATCATTTAACTTGGTTCGTAGCCCATTGGAACCTTAGTCAGATTTGTGAAATTCAGCTGGAATAGACAAATGGACTTAAAAAATATCCATCTCTTCTACTGGTAATATTAATTATCTCATTGTCCTTATTCCACTAGAAGCGGATGCTACCAAGGAAAAAAAATCGTGACTGAGTTGGAGCGTGTGCAGTTGCGGTTAGTGGAAAACTTCGAGCCATCGCGTTCTCCTTAAACAATGTAGGTGGCTCATATCAGATTACACGGAATAATTGCTCACTCATCATTCCGATGAATTCCGTTGGGTCAACTTTACAGCCGTTGGCACAACGGAACAATCGAACCAGTCATCAGCGAATCTTCTCGCCCCTTTGGCTAGCTGGTGTGGACGTTGGCCGGCAGGATGCCGGATGGGAGGGTGGATAACGTGCAATATACACCTCAGCTACATGACACATGACCTCGTCCTTCTATGTGCACACCGGATATAGAATATCTGAATGTCATCGTCACGATGCACAAAACGTTTTTAGCCCCGTTCTTTCGACCAAACCGGAAGTCCTATGCTCTCGACCGTAGATGCAGTTGGTTCGATGCATGGTTAGGTTACGTAGGAGCTAGACACCCGAGTCCGTCGGTTATAAGTGGTTAGTTCTGTTCGATCTTCCCGTCATGGCATTGCTTATCTGCGCGTGCAGTGAAAAACGAAACTTTGTTTTAATATGGCGTTGGATAATAGTGATGAGAACTGGATGGGATGGCCGTCCTACCCCTCGACTGTTACTACAGAGACTGGAACAAGCCGTCAGTTAACATTTCATATAGATAGATACTAGAATAACCGCGTTTGTCCTACACGACCTGAGTACTTTTTCCAGCTTTAATCGTTCAAGACGAGGAAATGGCCAGCTACCAAAAAAGGAATACGGGTGGGTAACTTGTAACAGTTTCCATATCATCTCCATAGTTCGATGGGGATTGCTCAACAGAGCAATCCAACTCGGAAACTGGACGAGACAGACACAAACGGAGCATCTCCTAGTTTCAAATGCTATGGATGTAGCGTCTAGTGAGAGGATGTCATGACCTTCGGAGGCTAGCCACTGTCCTCCTAAGGTAGTAACCTGCTTGGCAGTGGAAGATAGGTCATGCTATATCCCAGCTAGATTACAAATTGTGTAGCCCAGCCGACGTCCCCCATGGCTCAGTGGCTTAAGCTGCTGGCTAGTTGGCATCTGCTTCTAGCGGTCATGGGTTCGATCCCCAGTAGGGGACCGAGGGAATGCGCACCACTGACGAGCCCCAATAGGGCGAAACGCGTCTGGTGCTTTTCCGGACTAGGCTGTGCTATGTAGCTTGTGAGCAGCTGGGAGGAAAACATTACAATTCGTAGTTGTTGCTGCAATTTATGAAATCGTTTGTTATTTCTGACGCGAGTGGGATGAGTCGCGCGTGCTAACGATGCTTGCTGTGTTTTCTTCTTAACAATGAAGCGGTTTGTCGAAACGAGCATAAAACTGCGTTTCAGTATTGGTAGACGCTCTTCATTTCCTAATGCACATTTGTCACCTACGTACAGACGGCGAAAATCGATTATCAACGACGCGGAGCCAGACAAACACAAACTGAAAAAGAGCTACGGTGCTAGCATTTATTACAAGCATAGCTTTGCTTCCTACAAATCCATCTAGGTTCAAGTCCACATGTAATCAATTATTCAATGTCTATTATTTTCGGTGCGGACATAAGTTACTACATTTGGCTAGACACTACAAAACGAGGTCGATTGTCGGAACAGAACCAGGAATGCTAATTACCTCTCTCCTAAGATAAGGCGAGTATTTGAGATACCAGAAGCTTTCCTCATGCACACTTCAAATATTTTCGCCCGCACTTGACGCACTTAGCTAATTGAATTTCCCACATAAGTAGTTGATAGTGACTTTCTCTCACACATTTTCGCAGAACAGTGCCATAATGCGAATTGTCGGAGACATGTGCATTCTCGAAGTTGATGTCTGCTCTTGAGCTCCCAAAACAACGCAGTATTTTTCGCTACCTTTCGCATATACACGGAAGCACGCCACGCCAATTGACTAACGCAAATTTCCCATCTCTTTTTACGACGCGGCTCTGCGAAGGAGAAACATCTACATACAATTTTCCACAACTTCCCCAACCAGCTCTTCTTTTTGTTCCAGGAAAGGAGACTACCGATAGGCAGTAGCTGCTTGGCACGAATCAGAACATGCATACAAGGATTGGTTTTCAATTTGACTGCCGCTGAACTCACCGCTGGAATCGACTGAGCGAACTGCGTCAAACCCTCAAGAGATTGACCTCCTGGCTGGACATAGCCGTGATCGATGACCCATTTGATCTGAAACCACAAGGGCACAAAGTAATTGGTTGTGGTATTCGCGAATAAGAATTGTTTGGTCCAGTTGCCAGGGTGATGGAACTGCAACATTTCGAGTCTCTGACCGCCACTTTCAAGCGCAACTAAAGCAATCATGAGTGAGGACCAGTTTCATGCGTCCAACAAATGTTGTAACCCGGGTCCTAAATCAAGCTACTTATGTGATGCGGCTGTAATCACTAGGAGGCGAACAAACAACCATCATGCAACAAAGCGGGTGAGCATCTTAGCATAATAAAGAAGTACTGAGGCATAGCTCATGTTGCAGAAGTCCATTTATCTAGGATATGTACAAATGAGCTGTGGGGGAAGTGACGTTATTTAAACTTATAGAAATGATTAAAAACTACTAGTCATGATTTTAGCCTTAGGCACTTCAATAGATAATTACTGTTGTACCATCCGGGACTAAACAGACGCGAAAAACCGAACAGTGTAAAGTGTTAACGAACTCCTTCCTCAGATAGATGGTATACGTTTTTGTTCGCACCAAAATAGCTCAACGCAGTTGTGGTTTTCTGTGGAAAAATGTGGATCGCGTCATGGAAATAAGCAGTTTAAAATCCCCAACAACGGAGAAGCGGAGTAGTTGGATGACAAGGGTTTGACGACACAAATTATGGTGTTTCGATGTGGCTTCCTCCCATCTCTGCACCGCATGACCGACGGTTTCGTCCTGGTTTGGACGCATCAGGTAGAGATAGCCGGGCTGGGAGTGGAACACGGCGCATAGTGCTTGGCGGCTCTCATCATGATCCCTAAGCCATTGAACTCCGCGAGAAGTGTTTGACAAAGCGGTCAGAAGTCGACTGCAGGTATTGGAGCACCCGCCGTGTGTACTGGATTGCGACACGCAATCTGTACCTGATGAGTACAAACCAGGACGAAACCCTCGGTCATGGAGTGCAGGGATAGGAGAGAGCCACACCGAAACCCTCCACTTCGGTGACGGTCCCAATGACCGGATTGGCAGAGGCTGACTTCAAAGTCATCCGATGCCACAACTGAGATTGCGTGTCGCAATCCGAGATACAAAGAGGGTGCTTCAAAACCCGAAAATCAAATTCTGGTGTTCCACACTGGATTGGTCACATAATATGGTAGGTATTGTGTATTACTTACAAGTAAAGGGGTAGTGAAAATCATTGGTAAATAACCATAATGTTGAGTGTTAGCATGATCATTATTCATACCGAGTACTCTGTGATCGTCAGCTCACTGTGTTCCGGTGGTTCCCAGTTCAGCAAGACGTGTATAGTTCCGGTCGAGTAGAATCGCCATATGGAATCGGTGACATTCCTAGGGGGGCTGGGAGGATTTGGCCGGACTGGATGGAGTGGGTACGGGTCTGATGGTGGTCCGAATCCTCGGGTACCAAACGGACTAACTGCAGCAATGCGAAACTGATACATTCTTCCAGGTTCGAATGCATCCAACTTGGCTCCAAATTGATGAGTCTAATGAACGATGGAAGCGGAAAAATACCCTGTTAGGCAGCTAGATATATAAAATTCCAAAACTGCGGTTATGTTGTTTCGAGCTGAAAGTAGCCCTTACGATGTGAGAGGTCAATGGCAGTTGAAATTTTAATCGCCATTCTCCGCGGGAAACTCCATTCATCCAATCGAGGGGCATGATGCAATATTTTCCATTATGATTTCGGAGAACGACATTGGTACTGAGGCACACACGGTGTTTGCGTAACATGCAGACGGTGGGTGCAAGTTTTTCTTTGTGCCAAGACAAAACTTTGTCTTATTTGGCCTGATTAAGAGCCATAGACTCCACATATACAGTGAGGGTGGAAAGCCTTAACCCATAGAAGTGGACTAACCTAACCGTAAAACAATGCAGGATTGAAGCAGCCGGTACTCGATGGAACCCTTAGCAAAATGGTTAAGCACAATGGTGTGACATGATGTATCTGGAGAAGTCACTCGGTATGGTTTCAAGTGTGCACTACGGACCGTACGCATAGATAGCACCGCACAAGTTTGGTGTGGCATGTGTTTTACTTGGAAGCAATGAGTCATCTGCATTACGTTCTGGAAAGAACTGCTATACGTAGGATTCTAACATTGACTGAACGCTGCACAAGTAGTGAATAGCTCAAATATAGTGTCCATTTGCAATCAAGGTGTCACGAATGTTTTGGGCTATTGTGACAGACAGAACGTCTATATAGTGGTTGTTTAAAGTCACCCAAATTCCTTGAAAACACTCCCAGACTATGCTAGTTGATGGAAGATGGTCTGGTCAGACGGTCGCGCATGACGAAGGCAGAGAAGTGCGGAAGGCTGGTGCTAATATCAGCAGAGATCAACTGGCGTCGACCAGTTTTACAGCCTCATGTAACTCCCGAGTAGTACCTACACTATAATGTCAAGTGGCTTTGAATGCGTCCGGAACTCTGCGTTCAGTATGGGTGTAATTTTCCTGATTGTTTAACAAAGATAAGCATACAAATACTTGCTCGATAGAAAACACATCAGAGGAGATGGCGACTAAATGGTGAGGGATCTTTTACCCGAATGAGCAAATTCAAGCCAGTGAGTTTAAGTTCACATTATCCCACTGGCTGTGGTGATGTGTGACAAAACGATCACCGCAGTGGTTGAACGCATCGTTACATAAATAAAATGCACGAGAAAGATGCTCCGGTCCATGAGTTCAGTCTGACAAGATTGACAATGCCACCACAGAATCTCTACGGCCGGTTGGATGTCGGGTGTTAAGAGAGATTTGAGACTCCCAACCCAGAAACGCTCAATGCTCTAACATTTTCGTCATGGTACGAATCAATTTTGGACCCTAAGTAAGCGCTGAAGGAGATAAGTGAACTCGGTCCACGCAGTGAATAGCTTTTTGCTTGACACAAACTGCATCACTATTGGTGGACTGATGAGGAACTGTTGTCCTGGCTACCGAGATTGTATGATTTCTCTGGAATGCGAACACCGTTTGGGACGCTCTAAGACGAGGCCAGCATTTGCACATGAAAACGGACGGCGGATTTCATTCATCAGATCAACTGGTTAAGCTTAATGTTCCTCGCATAGGGGAATATCGCGCGTCAGTGCTCAGTTACAACCTTCGTCGCCCTATTGTTCAAACACAGAGATGACGTGTCAAAGCGTCGAACAAACAGAGTGGAAATCACCGCCAAGCCACCTGTCGACCAATAGAAGTGAATCGATCTACTTGGCGTTGTATTCTTGCATCATGAATTCATCACAATACGGTCTACGCTAGTTCCCAACCCAAAGTGTATTTGATATCTGAATTGTCAGGACGCACGCAAGCCCACACCACATCGAATTTAAAGGAGAAAGGAATCTAGTTCGGTAGCTGCAACTAGCCATATTCGCGTCATTATGGCAGTGGCGTTCGACCGATGTGTGGAGAGCAACCGCCAGGTTCATGAAGTTGCAAAGTGAACGTTTACAGTTTAGAAATGGGAGAATAAGAAATCGCTCAAACGACTCATGCTGTTGGATGTCACAGAACTCAATCCTTCAGGAAGAAGTCTATTGGTATAAAACGACCAGCGGAAAACTACGAAGTAGTTCGTTCGCACAGCGCTATCATATAGGATTGCCTGGCCAGTTCTATTCGCAACGACGCAGTTCCACCGATGGTGTTCCCTCCTTATTCCAACAGTCGAGAAACGTCATCCAATCAACGGAGCTCGGGGCGATTAAAAGCCAAGGCCGTTCGGTTCACATGCGATCATCAGCCTCGGAAGTCACGCTGGTCGGCCTGCTCCATCCGATTCACTACTCCCATCAAAATGGATAAGCCCAAACTTCATTTCTGGACTAGCAGACAATGGTACGATAAGTTCATGACGAAGTATCTACGGTGAGCCGAAATAGTGCCTGGACGTGACCTCGAATAGCGGCATTTAGCAGCATCAGTTAGTTGATGGAGTTTAAGTTCTACCCGCTTAAAACACTGGACTCCCTGACCGGTTCCGTACTAGTCTGAACTCGTTAAGTTGGGAAGCTGGGATCGCGACTCGAGCCTGGGACCACTGGAACGTCAGCTGAATCATGTATTCTTTAGGTTACGAAGTCGCTGGCGACCCTCATCAGGTAGTCATAAAGTAGTGGAACCACACGATGAAATTCGAGGATAAATCACAAATCACACAACGCTCACCTCATTCCGTAGCCAGTGTGATTGAAAGTGGATAAACTGAATCGAGAAGGCCATTGAAACCTCACGAGTGAATAAGCAAATTTGTTCGTGTGGTCATTCCGTCACGTGAATTCGATGTCAACCCTACAAGTTCACTTACTTTACAAGGGAAAAACAAGTGGAAACCATTTGGTAATCTACAACGTATATTGCCATTCAGTCTGCTGACTAATCATTCGTGTGAGAGGAAATACAGAGGTAATGGCTGCAGGACTTCCTAGATGACCTTATTTCTCCGGATGTCTTATGTCAGATCAAAATAGAGGCCAGAAGACTGCGCATCGACGGTAGTTAGAGCGCTGAGTGGCGAAGAGATCCATTTTCTAGCCTTCAAGTTCCCATGCAACGATCAGAATGCAAGCATACATGAGTATCTTTATTAGGATGGCTCGATACAGGCGATGGCACATACACATGCACACGCGAGTTTGCTTCTCGCCGGACGCACTCCAACTCCAACTGACGCTCAATTGTGCAAACAATAATCCTACTCAGCAACACTTTTCAGCAGTGTGAACCGTCACAGCTGTTATCAGAAAGTCAGCAAACGGCCGAGCCAGTGGAAAGGCACCACTTGAGAACGCAACACTACACTTCCCACATCAAAAGAAGGCAGCAATCGATAGCTCATCGTTTACGTCACCATGGCAACTGTTCAAACGACAGAAAAATGGGAAACTATGTATTTCATTCGCCTCAGTTGTCAGCACTTGGCGTCTTTGGAAGTAGGAAGTGCGCATTGTTAGTACACGTGTGCAGAATCGTGGGGTGCAGTATACCAAATAAGTATAGTTGTGTTTCGACAAAGTGCCGAAAGGAGTTAGACCAAGAAGTCAAGTAAGGCAGCTGAGAAAAGTCTGGTATTCTATGCATCACAGGCATATTTTTAATCACTTCTATTAATGAAGCACATGTGCATGTGTGCAGATATCTTAAATGCGCTGTCTGCACAAACTGATCAAATAGTAATGGGGCGGGGCATAGGAGCGGCGTCGTCAATTCCAGAGGACTTCATAGCCGAACATAGTGGGGTACTGCGCTCTTTAAATTAGGACCGATTCGCATACTGTTCGATTATTTCAAGTATGGGTTTGCCGGTCCGCAAATTGGTAAGAGATCAATTATATGCTTTTCTCCCTAAACAGTATGGACACTCATCGATCGTATAAATCTAAATCTCGCAATGATGGTAGCTAAAGCTTTGGCTTCTTTGGCAATTTCCTGTACGGAATATTAAATTCCATATGATTCTTATGAAGGAGATTGAAGCCAATATCCCAAGGCCTAAGCAATGTTAATCCGCTGTGACCATTTTGTGCAACGGGATTAACGGGTTCGCTTCTATACGTCCCAGCCGAGTGTATGCATTATTCCACTGGAGATAGATGAAACAAACTTGTCACATACAACGGAACCATCCCTGTACAGTTTGGAGCAGCTGTTGGAGGTTTCTGTTGCATTATTCAGACGGAAAAATTCAAAAAGTCGGCCTTCTTGTTGCTTCACAACACACGTTTAAAACAAAGAGCACACATACCATGATGAGGGTTTGCCATCCGGTCACGTGACTCAAATCCAAGTGTTTGCACACACATATGCGAGTCTGCAGTATGAACACAATGGGGCCGTGGTGCGCATTCAATTGACTGTACGGGACGGACCAATTCAATTCGACTATCATAGGTGACAATTTGGACTCAAACGGTTTCAATGCCGCTGGCAAGGGCGGAGTAGACTCGTTAAATAGGGGCTGCGGAGGGCAAGAGAACAGACGAAAACAGATTGAGAACCAGATGGATGTGACAGAAAAGAATGGAGACGCAATGACTTTGAAACCCTTGGACGGTTAATTAGCACACTGTTTCAATTTTGGCAGAAAATATAATAAGCCTAGTCAAGGAGTTGGTGCTTGGAGGCAGCGACTCATCAGTGATGCGCTAAATATCGAGCGTTGGTCTGTTTTTAATTAGCCAATAGCTAATAATCAGTGGTAACCATTCCAGGCCGCCTGCAAATTTGTTGCCCATGTGATTTCGAACACTCGAAGGACATTGCGCTTGGGGCCGCAAGCGATGCGGGGTTCATGGTCTACACGTCCTAATATCTATTCCACTTTTGGCGTGAAGAAACAGGTCACAGGGGGCATGTGGATAGGCATCGAAATGGTTACTGCACGTAGGGGGTCCCCTCCCACCGAGCACCGCGTGTTATGCTGGTCTACACATCGCACGTTCGGCGACAATGAGAGTAAAGAACATAAGTATCCAACATCCACATCTATATCCAAAATTTAGTAATATATCGTACAAGTCCGAACCGCACGACCTGAGCACGACCTGTTTCAGTGAAGGTAATTTGGGTGCAAAAACCTCTAGATGTTACCGTTGTTTGAGTGACCAATCCCAAACCAACCCATAGCATCCCGCTCCGTGTACTCCTCTGTTATATTATCGGTTGATTATACATAGATCGCTCAAGAAAATGTACGCACGTTCTAGAGTCGTTTGCACCCACTGGATACAATTTGGTAGCATTAAGAATCAGCTCGAGAGATCTTTGACGAAACATTATTTCCTTAAAGAGAAATTTTAAAGCGTTACGGATGTAATCGGTTGAAAAAAAGTATAGTTGTCCCCAGAAGTTCACCATCAATTATCTGTCGGGTAAGTAAACATTTACCGTTTTCGAAAACAAGAAGGGTATATCACGCGGAGATAAAAATCGACCTCTACCAATACATCTCAAGATCGCTTGAATGTAGTGTTAAGGGATGATGGTTGCACGCCTGACTTGGGACGTGTCATGGGCCCAGTTCGCACAAGCTATATATCACACACGGTAAACAAGCATGAGCATAACACCCAGGGAACTCAGCGCTGCAGCATGAAGCAACAGCCACAATTTATTCACGGGTGTACGTGGAACTCTTCCTGTAAAGCTCGGTTCTGTCGGCCGCTGAGTTGGAGGTTCATCCGCGTGTTCCATTTATAGATTGAGGACCTGATCAGAATGTTGCACCGATCGTCTCTATAGTCATCAAGCAACGGCGTCTTCATAGGGCGGACTAGAGATTTCTGCGTGTGTGGAGCACTTAACAGCACATATTTGGTATCTATAGAATGGTCCAATACATAGTGATTAGGGAAGTAGACTAGGATGAAATGCGATGTATTTGTCGTCCACGTCGGGACTGGGATCGACTGCGCTACCTGGCTTTGCATTCCGATCAGCTCTTTTAAATCTCCTCTACACAACGGTAGCATTGCAAGCTGACGATTAAACTGGTGGACTATGTCAACTGATGCAGTCGTTTTCTTCGGTGTTTGCTGTTTGTTAGATTCCGCCGTCCCTGTTGATATTTCATAGCGCCTCATGTTACCAAACGTCCTATACTTGTGTATAAAGATGCGTTTTGACAAGATTGTGAGGTACTGATTTTGAGGATACCGAATCATCACCAATCCAGATTACTCCACATTTTGCTTGGACAATATAACGTGCGCTCTGCTTCAGTGAAGTCATTTCTATTACTTATCCGTTTAACTCACACACTGGCTTGCTAAGTTACTAAATAATAAGACTCATACTGCACAGATACAGAGTCCAACCTCTTCTTATCATAGACTGACAATAACAATGGCGCATTGGAATCAAGTTGGAGACCATCAGGCTGATTTCAGGGTTGCCTTTTCTACACCCAAATTGTCACTGTTTTTCGTCTACCGCTGTCCTTGATCTTCCAATTCATTTAAACAACTATGATCTAAATACTGGGTCTGATGGTCATGACCCTCGTAGTCACTCAAAAGATAATTATCATTAGTTGGAAGACGAGTAAAAATGTAAACGAAGCACGAAGAAAAAGATGAGGTTAGTATGCTTAATGGTCAAGAGTTAAGAGACGGAATTGCACCGTGGGCTGAAATGCCGAAAATCTGGAGGTAATTATTGCTACATTTTAACAGCTTCTCCTTACTAAGATACTAATCAGGCCAGATTAGCATCAGTAAGATTTAGGTAGAAGCAAATGGCCGTGCGCTGACGCTGAATAAAAGCCCAATGTTCACGTGCGGGTAATTTGTCAAAACGTTCGAGATTAACAGGGTTATACAATTGTCATCTTCCAAATAAAAACAAAACAGTTTGCAGCGTTTAGTTTCTCGACAGCTAAACTTACTTCTTTTCTTCACGATCACGCATAAAACATCAAAATTGTGAAAATGTGATGGTTACTAACTAGTCTGTGTTCGTGCGCGTTCTGCAGCAAGACCTCTAAGATGCTGAATTCCTAGAAAATCCTCAAACAAATTCTAGGTACCTTGACTACTAAGTGTCGCCTATTCCGTGTGCTACAGGAGATTAACAGAAGGAGCGTTTACCTGATTTGAGTCAAACCACATGGGCTAATTAGTCGACCATGGAACTAACTAGCACAATTGCCCAAGGGCGAACAGAGTTTGTTGAGACATAAGCTCTGCCAGTTTTGATGCTTGCATCGGTGAACAAGTGCAGATTTCCCGATGGACGGTAATAAAATTGTCATAAAACGTTCTAGAGCCATTAGAATAAGAAGGGGGGAAGGGGGCGTGATGGAGAGAATTAAGCCAAACGTACTTTGCTTTTCTAAGCACCAGAAGAAGCAAAGACGCGTGGCTCGTTAAGAATATCAGTAAATGAAACGATCGTAAAGCCTGAGGATTCATCAAAAACACACTAATTCGAATCACTGAGCAGATGGATATCGACAACGTAAAAGAAATGATACAGAGAACATCGCAATCTTCCCTGGAATCTGTCTTCTTTGGAATCCAATAATGAAAGCTGTGCATAATAAAACATCGTGAATTACGGATTTTTGGCATGGTGATCGTTCGGTCGGGAAAGCTTACTGCAGATCGGACTCTGAAGTGATTGGTAGTCGTTGAACACCTAGAAAAATTGGGCTCAACACACTGAGATTAGGTGCCTATGGCGCACTTCTCGTGCGATTACAGGCAAGTTGCGACCATGGTGCAAGTTAACCGCGTTACAACTTGACTCAGTCAGACGGACATCACACATCCGGGAAAGCACAGGATAGCTGTTTCGTCCTTACCGAAATAGGCAGCAATACGCAACCATTTGCTACCTGTGAAGCAAGGATTCGTAACGTGACTCTTTATGAACCTGCTTAGGGCCACTGAGCATCTGGGGGTGATAACCACTTGCATGTCTAGATCAGTGAATGCGATATGTGACAGCAGATTCTGCGCTGATTTGCACGCCACTGCCATGTAGAGGACAAGGTGACCGATCTGAGGAAGGATTTCGGATACTTCATTCTCCCAGTAGTCTTAATCACTGATTCGCAAGAATACAGGGGCTGCTTCTAGCCCCACGTGGGTCAGCTGGAGCGCGCACTGTTGATGTTTCTCTAAAGTGTGGAATATTCGTTTGGTATTTAAGTTATATATTATGAATCCCTACTACGGCGTGTAGACTAGGCGCCAGCTGTGGATCAGACAGCTACTGATATCACGGTAGCTACATGCACTGGCCATCCGTTAGTCCAGCGATCGGACTGCAACATCTCTGAGTCCCACTGCACTATCGGACCCGCCAATGTGACTTTTGGCTATAAGGCATTATTCTGTCCTGGTGAGCCTTATGCTTAGCCAGAGTTGATTCTTTTTTCAGTTTAGTAGGGAAGAACTCGATATGTTTTATTTATCAGTTAGATTATTCCTTCTTCAAATTATAGGTCATTAATATCCAATGGGGATTGTTACTTAAGAGCCTGCTCCCAAAGCGCTAGAGTTGACGCTAAGGTCACTACAAGAATGGAGATTTCGTTATTTCAGTGCTATGTGCAAAATCTACATAAACTTAAAAGCAACCTTGGATATCCTGTCCGTTGGCAACTGAAACGATAGTTTACTGTAAAAATGCATGTGAAGGCAAAAGCCTACTAGGAGTTCGGCATGAAGGCGAAGTTGTAGGGATCCAATAAGTCCATGTACGATAGAGAAGTGTCTCCTATTGTTCACTATCTGAGATAATCATGTTACCCAGACACACGAATACGGCTTACCGTTGAGCATATCCTTTGACAGCCGACTGTACAGCATTTATCGATTAAATTTACGCAGTCGCGATCTGATTGGCAGGAACTGAGACACTTGCCGTCGCCAGTATTCGCGATCCGCAATCGAGGTTCGTACTGATCCCACGCAATTGGCACATCCTCTCTTGAGGGACATTTACCTGGATGAGGATCTACGCTCTCCAGCAAGAAGGCACATCCCAGGTGACAACCCACATCGAAAGCCTGCAACCAGAGTTTAGTATAAGAAGGAGAAACATCAGTGCGATTCAGTAATCAAAAGAGCGGGTTATGGAAAGCAGAAAGAAGCACTCGATCTTGTGCTGTGTGACCAAAAACTACCAAATAGACATCAATACATTCGGCTGGTTTGGCGATGACTATGCGGAATGAGAATTCACGTTCTGCGCTAGACGATTTGCGCGATTTATTCAACCGAACAAAGCAGAAAACTGCGTCAAAATTCCTGTTCAACAAAATAAGAGGAAACAATTTTCCGGTACAACTTGTGGAATAATTGCCACCGTTCCCCATACTACTTAACTAGTTCTGAAAAATAATAATTAAAAAACACATACTGCTTCCACCTGGGTGGCAGGCGTAGCGCATGTTCGAAGTTTGTGGTCGACTGTCGCCTGACTCTCTTTCCACTAACATGTTTACCTTGATTGCTTTACGGCAAAATCATTTGCATAAACGTGAACTAGCTCCGTTCGATAGAGTAAAAGAGTAGCCTGGATTAAACTGAAACCAAAAAACTCCGTTGAGAATATCGTGGCCACCAGGGATTGGTCCAGCAATTTCGATGACGCATTGTGTATACAAACAAAAATCAGGGGAAGAATCCAAAAGGGGATGATAAACCACCAGTTAGTAACAGGCATCGGATAAGAAGCCAATGCCCGCCGCTGGCAATGCTGAAGAAATTGGAGTATTGAGACCTATTTAAGGGGTTAGCAACGCCCCAAAGACCAGCTAGCATGTGCGAACTTTATGGTGTCGAGAATCTATCCCCTCATGGGTTCGGAGGCAAGTAAACTTCTCGCAGAGCGGTTGGACAGCTACGCATGTTGAAGGATATTTGACGCTGTGTACTACTGGTCAATGTTGTAGCTGGCGTGTAGGGGAAAAACATGACAATGTTAACGTTTTGTGAGATTTTCCTTAGTTCAACACATAAAACCGACGAACACCAACAGGTTAGGCCAATAGTCAGGAGCCAAAGCAGACTAAAGCGGCTTGGCACAGTAAAGCTGTCTACGGAAGTAACTGGTGGTGAATTTCCCTACAACGTACGCCGAAAAGATCGGAAGATTCATAATGTGCTTTTGGATCCAAACCGATGAAAAGCGTAATGAAACACCATCCGCAAGCTTCTAGCAAATCTTGACGGGACAAAGCCTGCTGGACCAGATGGTATACACCCACTGATCCTCAAGTCCCTATCGGCCATCATCGCGCCTTCTGTAACTGAACTGTTTAACAGATCCCTATCCACTGGTCTACTACCGGACGACTGGAAATGCTCAGTCGTAAAGCCTATACCGAAAGGTGGTAACCCAAGTAAAGTGGATAACTACCTGCCGATCTGCCTGACTGCTGTTTTGGCAAAGACGCTCGAGAAGATCGTGAAGAAGAACCTTCTGCAGCTTCTCGAGTCGAAAAGCCTGTTGACCTCCGCACAGCATGGTTTCATGAAAGGTCGTTCGTGCATCACCAACCTACTGTTGACAAGGCACGAGTGGTTACAAGCGATGAACCAAGGCCATTCGGTCGATGTCATTTACATTGACTTCAGTAAGACTTTTGACAAGGTTAATCATGCAGTGCTCCTTGACAGGCTGAGGATGTACGGTGTTGGTGGTTCGCTACACAAATGGATCAGAAATTTCCTTGTGGATCGGAAGTGGAGAGTCCAGGTGGACAACCATCTAACGGACTGGTATCCATCGAGCAGCGGCGTTCCCCAAGACACTGTACTGGGGCCGATATTGTTTCTGATCCATATAAACGATGTGCCTAAGCTTCTCCAATCACCATGTGCGTTGTTCGCAGACGACTTGAAGGTGTGGAGAGTAATCCGCACACTCAATGATTGTGATTTACTTCAGCAGGATCTCGACAGCCTCTCAACATGGTCTGCAGATGTTAACCTTCCGATCAACCCTGCTAAGTCGCAATTCATGAGGTTGGGTAAATGCGAGCACAGCCGAACGTACACAGTAGCCGGTCAACCGCTGCATCCCGCGTCTTTCGTGCGAGACCTCGGTGTGCTATCACGCTGCGACCTAAAGTCCATTGACAACACGAATGGGCTGTACCAAAACAGCCTTCGGATGCTTTGGGCGCTCAGGCGCAGCTTCAGCACTTGGTCCGAAGAGATTGCCACTCGCCTCTTCGTCTCGATAATACGACCAATGCTAGAGTACGGCTCTCCCGCATATTGTCCCATCACGCTGGGCGAGGTAGAGAAGCTTGAGCGGGTGCAGCATGTAGCCACTAGGCTGATTCCCAACTTACGAGGTATGCCATATGAAGACCGATGTAAGAAACTAGGGCTGTACACCCTAGCATATCCTCGGCTCAGGGTTGACCTAATCATGACGCACCGGATATTACATGTGAGTGATTACCCCATGTTGAGACAACTGCTTCATCTGCGCACACCAAGCAGCACGCGAGGACACCGGTACAAACTTATCGTACCGCAGTTGAAGCGGGTAACTCACCAACTCTGTTTCGAACGTAGAGTGGTGAATACCTGGAACAAACTGCCGCAGCCGGTAATAGAGGCGAATTCAGTGGCCGAATTTAAGAAGCTTCTAGACAAACACTTCGCAGAGGCAAAATATAAAGAGCGAAACGATAATTAATACGTTAATGCCCAAGAGCGACAACTGATGCAGCTACACAGAGTATGCTCTACTCGCTGCTTCTAATCAGTATCAGTATCAATATCATTAAAAAGTGAGAGCTCGCAATTAGTCATACCACTGAACGAAGGCATCGGTTTACAGAAAGGGCCATCAAACCAATGCACCCAAAACGTATCATCCAAAGCTCTGCTCCAAAGCGAACAGATTATTTGAACTCAGAGCAGTTTGTGAAGTATTTGGTAAGCAAGGTTTCACATCCGGCAAAATATGTTGGTTAGGCCAGGTACTCGAGTATGTTATTGTGAGTATCATCCTTGTTCGCCATAAAATGCAGCTCCAGCTGCATAATGGTCCGATTGGACTGACGAAGCTTTTGTGTCAGAAGCAAAACGTTACCTAACAAACACGCCAACCGACCGTTTCCAAACCTATTTGAGCTCGTGACTTCTCGATCGTTTAAAAGTATCTTCCAAGTTTTCGAACTCTTTAGCTGCTAAAATACTTGACATGAATGTCGACAATAACTCCTAAGCCTTACGTATAGAGTTGGAAAAGCAATCTCAGTGTTCAGCAAAGATGCTGTAGGACATTTTATTGAATATGGAGTAGCAGCCATTACGGTAAAAGGAGTCTGGGATAATGGGATATCACACTGAAATAAACGGTTCGAACCCTGAGACTCGCTTCGTTAGTGACGCATCTTAACAGAAATGTTAAAATCGGTTACACTTCGAAGACGGTCGGGTTAATGGGTAGATTTGATTAACACATGTAGGAATCACTTTGGTCCAAGGATGCTGGAGTACTAGTAAGTTAGTATCAAGTCAAGTCAATAAATTTCTTTATGCACACATGATCTCGACAATGTACCAAGAAAGCAAATCGGTGACAAAGCAATACGACAAAGAACTGGTAGATAAGGACAAAAAACACAAGCAAGTTGTAAGTCGACTGCTTGAGTGAATGATGCCAGAGTTGGGGTCGCGTAAAAGAAACGAATGGTAAGGGATGACTGAGGAATGGTAAGCTTGCGTGCGGGCACAAATTCGCTTGTACTTCTGCCTAGTACAAAACGTTAATAAACGTTCAAATAAGGCAGTATGTAGAGGATGACTTATATCGGTCGGTATCTTAGAAGGCGGCTTTTTCCAAGAATTGATGTGTGTAGAAATAAGAGTGTTGGTAAAAGTAGATTTCGGAACACCGCTATATCGAGCTACGTACTTTAATGATGTGACAATTAAGTTAAAATAGTTACCCAAAAGACCGGGAAAGATCACAGGAAAACAGTACGTCCAAAGCGGAAGAACACAGGCACTGACACAGGCACTCACGAGGAACATAAAAGTCTCTGAGCCGAGAGGCATAGAATGACATCTTTCTGACTTTTGTGAAAGTTTCAGTTACTTGAAGCGTCCAAGATAAATCGTAACTCAATATCGCACCGAGAAATTGTACTTATATGGAAGACTGTAATCCGTCGCCATCAATATGTAACTTGTTGCACAGTGTAAGGAGCTCCTCGTACCTGGCTCCTCTTTGCAAGGAAAAAGAATGTCATGGCACTTTGAAGTATTAAGAGACAGAACACGGGATTTGAACCAGCCATTTAGATCGTTCAGAAACGCTTGTAGTCTGAATGAAGAATCGGTGATTGAGGCCCAGGAAGATATCGTCCGCATATTTTTATCGGACTCGCTTCAGTTGAAGCTGGTATAGAGCTAACATAAGTAGAAAAGAGAAAAGGCGACAGAATTGCTCCCTGAAGGACACCTGCGTTGGTGAGTGGTGGGAAGGAACACCTGCCACTGAGTCGGGTAATTAGAGTGCGTTCAGCAAAATAATCACTCAGTAAATAGGCAATGTAGGGATGTGCCTCTTGAGTAAGTAAGTCTCCTAGCAGTAATTCGCGATTAACACAGCCAAATGCATTGCTGTAGTCAAGAAAACACATCGAGTTGGTTTTTTCCTTTTGTTAAGCGATGACAGTACAGAATGTACGAGGCAGGCCACAGCATCTAGGGTAGACCTCGAACTACAATAGGCGAACTGGAGGGAGTCCTTAGAGCGTGTGCTGGACGGCATCATTTCGAAGATGACCTTCTCCAGAACCTTCAAAGCAACGGAAGTGCACGCGATAGGTCGATATTTGTTGGATCCTTTTTTCGGCACCTGTGTAATGTTGACACTTTTAGAACAATCGGCTATTTTGTGTTGCTGCATACACATTGTGTATAGACTCACAAGAAGTGTTGCCAAACAATCGGCACATTCTTTGAGTAAGACAGAAGATAGCATGTCCGGCCCACTAGGTTTACCGGAACGTAGATGTTTCAGTAGATTAGTTGC